ACTAGGTTCTTTCATCTTTTATGTAAATACTTTGAAAACTCATTTTCAAGAAAGATAAATTTTAAAGAGTTAGATATAATCAATTGTGTTATTGATTATTCCTATCTAGTGTTTCAATGATGAAAATCCTTCACTATCAATGGGCTTTGAAATTGAAATAGCTTTATGATTCAGGTAAGCTTCTTCACAATCACTATGAGGACATCAGATCTGCCCTTAAAGATATACATTCAGGTAAGTTTAGTTTTAATTTGATTAAAATTTTTAAAAATTTAAATTAATTTTAAAAATTAAATTAAAATTTGACTAAAAATTTGATTAAAAATATTAATCTCAAAAATTTGGAAGCCATGTGAATCCAGATACAAATTTTTAAAATATTAGAAAAATACTGCAGTGATATTTTACTAGTTTCATGAAGCAACATGGGACTCAGGGTACCACTTATTCTCATATTTACGGTAATTTTATATCCTGTTGTAATTTAGTGCTTTTCCTTGGAAGCACTTTCATATCTCTATCAGAGTTACTCTTAGTTTCATACCATATTATACTGATTTAAAATCTTATGCTGACAAATATAGCATTCTTAAGGATTTTTTTTTCCTGATATCTTACCAAACACGGGGCACCCAAAATCCAGGTTTTTTCTCTCCAGGTCTTAACTTTAAATTTAGGTTCTTGGACACACTTACATTAATTCTGAATATGCCATTGCAATCTTCCTAAAATAGAAAAAAAGAGAGAGAGATGAAGGAGGAAACTTGGTCAGAAGAGGAACTCAGAAAAGATAAAAAATAAGAAATACATTTTACATAGAGTCACAAAGATCTTTATTTGACAAAAGTGATATGGACAGCTAACCACAAATAGTAACAAAGACTGCAGAGATGAGTGGTGAAAGTTGATGCTGAAAACATTAGTAAACGGACAAAAGGTATGATTAAACATTCCTCCAAGGAAGATGTATAAATGGCAGTAAGCACATGGAAAGAATGCTCAGCATCATTAGCCATCAAGTAAATGAAAATCAAAACCGCAGTGAGATATCACTAAGACCTGCTCAGAAGGCTATCATTAAAACAATTAACAACAAGCTTTGACAAAGATTTGCAGAATTGAAATCCTCATACTAGAACCTTCATATACTGCTGGTGGGAATGCAAAATGGTGCAGCCACTTTAGAAAACAGTGTGGCAGTTTCTCAAATGACCAAACAAAGGGTTACCTAAAACCTAGAAATTCTACTTCTAGGTATCTATCTATTTAAGAGAAATGAAAAACAAGAACAACAAACATACACACCAAAATTTATATGCTTATATCACTATTATTATAAACTAGAGGCCCAGTGCATGGATTCATGCACCAGTGGGGTCCCTTGGACTGGCCTGTGCCCTCTCGCCATCCGTGACCCCTCAGGGGATGTTGGAGAGCCAGTTTTGGCCTAAACCCCACAGGTCAGGCTGAGGGACCCCACCGGTGCATGAATCTGTGCACCAGGCCTCTAGTATGCATATAAGATCTTTGGTTAATCTCTCCCTGCCCACCCCCCCATGCCCTTCCCTCTAAGATTCATCAGTTTGTTCCATGTCTCCATGCCTGTGTGTTGAGCATCTGCCCCCTGGTGGTCATTGTGCATTACAGTTACTGGCTGGTCGACCGGTTGCTTAGGCATATATATATATAGCATTATTTCTAACTAGAGGCCCGGTGCACAAAAATTTGTGCACTAGAGGGGGGGTCCCTCAGCCCAGCTTGCCCCTATCACATACTGGGAGCCCTCAGGGGATATCCTACTCCCTGCTCCCTACTCCCCTTGCACTTTGCAAGCACCAACAATTGCCTGATTCCTCTGCCTATAAACCTTTTATGACTTCTCATTTTTCATCAAGGAAATTCCGACCCCCTTAGATTGACATTCTAGGTCTCTGAGGATCTTTTTCTAAAGTACATTTCTGGCCTGATTTTCAGTTCATTTTGGCATGGGAGGGAAGTGAATGGGTGGGTTAGGTTCTTTACATAAATTAACTAATTTAATCTTTATAATATCACTGTGTGAGAAGTGCTATACAGGAGCAAATAGGTTCAGAGGGATTAAGTGATTAGAACAAGTCACCACACCTACTTTCTTCATTCTGCCTCCTCTGCTTGGAAGGCTCTTTCCTGCTAGAATCCTCTCTCCTCCTTAAAGCCTTCTCAGTACAGCGCCCCCAGGTGGAAGAACTACTTACATTACTTTCACTTCTCCTGTGCTCTTTTAAATTATGACTTTATGTTACGTGGATTACACATGAAACACACATTCTCATTGGGCAGAAAATGCTGCAAAGCAGGAGCAGTGACTTACACATTTTTCCAGCCCTCATTTCACCAATCATGGTGCTTTGTACATAATTGATATTTAATAACTAATCATCAAAAGGTATTCTCAGAATTTGATTACAGGGCTTTGCTGACTAAGTTCTGGGCTCCATATCTCTACCTGAAGTGGTGTCAATATTTCAAGTTTTAAGAAAAAGGAACTGAGGGAGGAAGTGCTCAGACAGACATCAAGAAAATAACCTGTTTTCTCAACTGGAAAACACAGCACTAACAGCTCAAAGCTTTGTTATCTTTAAACATTAGCTATGTGATCCAAATATTGGGGTATCTAGTTTCCCCTTTCCCTTCTTTTATAAAGATAGACTGAGTTCCGAGGTAGACCTGCAGTTCCTTTCATCCACCTGGTCTCTCTGGCCTTGGCCTCCTATATCAGGACTAGGGAAAAAAACCTGTCCCAATGTAAGGACACAGACCACATCTCACTATGCCAATTTCCTTTCTATCATTCTGCTCTCTGTGATGGCTAAGTTCTCTTAGGCTTTCTTATGAGCCTACTGCTGAGGCCTCATTGCTCTGAGAAAGAGGATAAATGCATCATGATATCTGTGTGTTTGTCCATCCATTGTGAGCTCTCTGTCTCCTATCCAAGTAAGCATCAATCTTCAGCTTGGACTGGGGAAGAGTAGATAACATAAAATCACACTGCACTTAGGCTATTATTAATATACTGAGTCATCAAGGTTCCCAGTAGGCTTCATCCTGAAATGCTGTTATTCTCTTCTTGGCCTCTATTCAGTGTGGATTTAAAATAATCCTACTTTCCTTATGCAAGCTTATGGACTAATGAATCAGTTCCGTATGATTTCCTTCATTAGCTAATTTGGTACACCATGACTTTTATAGCAGGTTCCTTGTTATTTCTTCTCAGGTTTATCCTCTGTGGAGGGTAGCTAAAGGAAGCAGTGACTTAGGTGTGCCTTGTGCAACAACATAAGGTCTGCCCAACTTAAGTATGTCTCTTCTGCCTTGCTGCTTCCTGAAATCCTCATTATGAATATACTCCATAATGAATATTGACCGCACAAAGATGTTATCTGTATTTTATTCCAATTAGACAGCTAATAATTTTTATAATTAGAAGACTTTTCAAACTGATATAAACTCTATATTAGATAATCATAGTTGCTGGAAATACGTATTGTAATTCAACTCTATTAATCCTTCGGAAACATGCATTTTAATGGACTCGGGCATTATTTTACCTGTATGAATGAGTACATACTTTTGCTAGTTTATACATTAGCAGTACTTGGTTCACTTCATTAGTCTACTCATAATTTTGGGAAGAACCCTTAAAAGATTGAGGCACTAGGTAGTGTAGCAGAAATTGACAATTATTAACCAAACTCTGTCCTTTTTTCCCCACAGAAGACACCACTAAGCTACATATCGCAGTTCTCCTTCCAGTCTGGTGAGGCTGTGCTCTTCCCAGTGGAACATGGGTTGGAGTGAGGTGTGCTGCTTCTGAGCTCAGCCTTCTCAGGCAGAGATGGTTCTTTGTTCATATGAGCCAGCTAAATGGAGAAGACTTGAAAACAGCAAAGGGTGGGGTCACAAAACAGAAGGAACTTGAATGCCGGAAAGGTCATTTGGAGAAGAGCTTTGAAGTCCAATTTACCCAAGATGCAATATATTCATTTCATTATGTTCAGCTACTGAAATATCAGGGTTGTTCCAGCATTTAGCCTTCTCTTACTGACATTGACTGAAGGAACAAGCATTAGCAAAGTATTCAAGCTCGGGTCTTTGTTAGTTGTCTTAATTCTGGGCAAATAAGAGCTGATGCAAGGCCTTGACTTCCTAATGGGGAGAATGTTGGAGTGGAGAAGTGTTATACAGGGGACGTGAAAGTCAGACTTTGCCTTTCATGCTTTTGGGTGGGGAGGCTATTTGTTGATATGAGTGTCATGTGACAACAGAGGCAGGATTAAATTCAGGAAGACTCAAAAGAAAAGTTTCTTAGATTCAACATCTGGAATCTTGGGTGACTATGCAGAAGATGACAACAGTAGATTGACACTGGAATAGGAGGGAAGAGTAGAATTCCCTGAAATGTGCTTTTAATCTTACAAAGCTTTGTTAGCCGGAAAAGAAATACTACATGCTTTAAGCCAAAGGAGTTCATGAGAAGAGAATTCTTAAGAGTTTTGTCAGGGGGCTGTCAAAATTGCCTCAGCACATGCTTACCAAGGGCTGGTAAACTACCTTAATTTTTATTCCAAAATATAGAAAGGAGTATCTTACCCTTCTAATAATGTTGGGATCATTGCACTTTGCCAGTTTCCCAGCAAAAAGCTGAACTCCAAAGCTTGCGAAAACAAGCATTAATGTCAACAAAAGAATGGAGACCTGAAAGAAATTGGTGAGATGTCAAATCTCTCAGTAAAACTTTAAACAGTACATTTGGTTTGAACAGCAATATGAACGGGACTTTTCTGATAACAATGTATAAATTCATGATCTTTTGATGATATTTTTTAACTTCTCCATCACAGGTCATTCAATTAGCCTTACTGGAATGTTAAAAGAAGAAAATTAACCAGAGGTTTTGAATTTTCAGAATAAAAACATACAACTTTCATGTAAGAATATGGGCTAAGGTATTGTTGATATGACTTAGACTTTTCTGATTTTAAAGTCAACACTTTGATCTATTTTATTGAATGGAACAAAAGAAACATGTTTAAACAATTATATTTTCCCCATTTTCTCAAAATGGATTCATATCTCTATTAGCAGAACACAAATTAGAGGGGCAGTGGCTTTGCTTTCTTGTGAGCACGAGGGCATGTGAATGTGCTACTCACAGGATTCAAGTAATTCAGTCTAAAACAAACATACAAATCTGTTAACTGGCTCAGGCTCCCTCTACTGGATGGCTACTTTGGTCTTGCCAGAGAAAAGTGGCAAAGGGTAAAATACTGAGCACACTATTGATCTGTACTTGTTGACTAACCTAAAATATACCGTAAGTATACTTAAATTGCACAGAAACATCACCAGAAGAAAGGCACATATAGATTCTCTCCTAAAATCTATTAAGGGTCAAAGATATGCCACATTAGCCATCAGGTGATATTCTGTTTTTCTTCAGTTCTAGCGGTGTGAAAGCCAACATTTTATGGCTTTGTGACAAATAAAATATGGAATTTTAAACACATATTTAAAAAGTGTTAGCAACTCCATGCCTATAGTAACAGTTCAACCTGTCTGTAAAATAGCTTAGGATCAAATGCAACTACAGCTGCTCTCTTACCATAGGTGTGTTTCTAGAAAGCAAGATAAGAAATAGGCTTATGGGAATTTATTCACATTTTCCCATGCACAAGCAGAACTCATCAGTAATAACCAGAATCCTTTGATCACTCCTTCTGTAACAGATTGTGAGCAATGAGCCTCTTACTCATCATTTTATCTGCAGCCCTGCTCTTAAAAGGACCCTAAATCAATGTTCACTCAAGTAAAAAGAATGTTTTTCCCCTCAATCACATTTTGAAGTATTCATTACTGTACATTTAGGTTACTTAGAGTAGGGTATATTTGTATGTTTCTTTTTTGTGTGTTGTTTTATGTTAACATTCTAGAGATCAGAGATAAATTCTATTGCTATATGCTTTAAGTGACATATTAAATGAGATTAGAACCCAAATGTGTTAATTCCTAATATCATTTTGTGAAGTAGATGGTGTTGAACATTTTTAACCTTAATTTCCAGATGGGGAAACTAAAATCCAGAGTAGAAATTAGGGCCAACAGTTAGGAATGGAAATGTCAGCAAATACTGTCTTTCGATTCTCCTTTCATTGTCATTTCCAGAGAGCTTCTCTTTAGCTTAGGAAAAAAATGTTTGTTGAATGAAATATACTAATAAGGCAGAAGCATTGGGAGTAAAGTTTCTGAAGGTGTATTGTGCATTGTTAGTGCTTCTATAATCCTCTGACCAAAAACTAAAATTGCAGACTTCACCTTGACAAGCAAGACTTACTTTATCCTCTCATTAGCTACATTACAGAGGTGGACTCTGCACTGGGAGCGAAGGTAATTGGAACATACCAAAAAAATTTCCTTGAAGCCACTGAAAAGCTCTCGAACCACTTTCCTCATCTGTGGCACCAGTTTGAATATCCGCAGCGGCCTTAGGCACCGAAGCACCATGAGGAGCTGAGCTCCTGATTCAGCAGGCACATTTTGAGGCATCCAACAAAGAAATATCAAGCTCACCTAGAAGGAAAAAAATCATCTATGAAATTTATACAATTTATCCTCCACTGTGTACATTTTCTGAGAGCCAACTGACTACAACTATCCCTTAGGAGAGGCTCCATGTGTTATATGGGACACGCATTCACCCGGTAACTATGCAGTCTCTTCACTCTAAACTATGAACCCAATCTAGACCCAAGCAACCCTAAAGCACAGTCATCAGGCATATGCAGGAATGGAACGGGGTGCTACCACGGGTGTGCACCAGTGCACTCTGCCCCTTCTCTTACTGACACACTGGAGGCTCCGCTCATGTCAGCAGGATTGAAATTCCTTTGATCAAAGAGACTAAACCTCATTCATGACCTAATACTATTTTATTAACTACCTATAAATGTTGCACTTAAGGGTCACAGTTCTCCTTGCTGTGCTGAAAAAGAAATTGATTTTATACCTTCTTGAACATAAAGAGAAAAAAAAGAAAGAAATTTCTTTGAGTTGTTTCCTATGGTTTCTCAAATTAGTTTAACCAAACAGTTGAATGGTCTTTCCTAGCCAGGTATTTTGTGCCTTAGAATTGGGAGAAAGGTCCAACCACTCTCACTTTAGTTTGTTTTTAGTAGTAAGGCAGCTCATCAATCAATTATATGATGCAGATTTTTTTTAGTAGTGGAGCCACTAGAATTGTGGGGGCAAACTAGTTTTGCTATCATAGACCTCATTAACGCATGTCTTATGCATACATAAAAGTGGATGATGTATTTCCAACCATCTCCATGAATCTTTTTAATGCTTTCCATTTAGATTTTTATATGCATGCCTCTTATTCAGCTATAATGGACTTACTAGTACTTTACTTAAGAACTCAGTTTTGGCATCTAAACTTTGGTGACTCACATATCTCACTCTTGTACCAAGAAAAGCAGGAGCTGTTACAAATCCATTATATTTTATATTTAGGAAATAATCAAAGACTTACAAGATAAATAAATATGTCCATTACTCCACCAAAGTCTCTGATAACAGCAGTTGGAGTGAAAAATAAGCCATCTGCCATAATCTTCAGATTAAGCTCAATGCTCATGAATATCACAAATACATACTCAGCAATCTGAAATGAGCAAAAGGCAGTTTGATCACAGTGAATGGAAAAGATGCAGGTCAGTGTCTTTCCTTGGAGCTGTGGGTTAAGATTCAGCAGAGGTACCTGCAAAGTAGGTGCATGCATGACTCTTCGGAAGGGAGATTCGAACATCATGGAAATGCAGGAGCAGATGGTTACAATGATCATGACCCAGTCCAGGTAAGTCACCAATCCCAACAAGTCACTGCAAAGACCAAACAGAACTGAGGAACACATACGACCCAGTAAAGGCGGCTAAAAGCCAGAGAAGTCACTGATGTGATTCTAATAATGTGACTGGTATATTTTTATGAATCATCAATTGTCTATTTCATGGCACAACATAGCAGAAAAATAGAGGGCATTTTTAATATTTTTATGCATCATAAAATAGTACACAGAAACTTCAAATGTGCATGGAAAACAGAAGTTGGAAAGCTTACTAAAGTTGATGGTACTTTGTATTTTTCACAGCTCCTGTGACAGGATCTGTTTTAGATCTGTAAGAGAGAATAATCGTATAAACTTCTGCAATATAGCAATGGTGTTATAACTTGGCAGCATAGAATTTAGAAACGTCACATCTACCTAAATCTCTTTTTACCCTTTATAAAATGTCCATTTAATATACTAGAGGCCCGATGCATGAAATTCGTGCAAGGGTAGGCCCTCGCAGCCCCAACTGCCTCAGCCCTCGCAGCCACCCTGGCTTTGTCTGGAAGGTCATCCAGTCATTCTGCTGATCGGCTGTTCTGTCGATTTGCATATTTCCCTTTTATTATTATAGATGTTAACTGTATGTGACTTTGGGAGACAGAGAACATTAGATGAAAAAAATCAGAAGAGCTTGCAGTTAATACATATGAAAGTAAAGTTTTATATTTCTCAAAATACTTAATTTTAGAGTTGATGATTCCATTCAACAATTTCTGATATGGATTTTACAGAATTAAATTTTGGCTTTTCTTTAAAAACACACAGTTAAAATCTTTGCCTTAGCAGTTTGAAGATGTTCCTCATAATTATTTAATTAAATATCTCTAAATTCAACAGAGTCCTTCACCCTGTATTTAACTGTGATCTTGTGGAGTAATGTATATAGAATTTCTCAGTAAGGGAATCTCTAACTTTTACTTTTTTGGGGAACCAATCTTCAGTGAAGCCCCTAATAGTGTTTGTATGTGTACTCCCAATTATAACAAAGTCATCTTTGGTCCATATCAGCTGCATTGCTGACAAGGAGAATTACATCGCACTAAATGGAGTGGAGAATTAATAATTAGGTGTAAACATGAAGGCAGCCAACAGGATAATTCCAGATTAAAAACCTACTTTGGAACTCATCAAATTAATTTTAAATTGCCAACTTTTTCCTTTACTTTGTGAAAACTCAGGGGAGTTTTTAATGATTATTACTCAGTTATTTGAAGCTGTGAAGATCTTTCTAGAAAAGCAGAAAGAACAATGGGTTGGCTGTCAGAGAGGGCCATGCACTAGATGGTGTCCTTGGCAAACCTCTTAATCTCTGCTGACCTAAGAGTCATCCCCTGTTGGAGGAGAAGATACACAAACAACACCAAATGATTGTGAGGTCTCCTCCAGTCCTGAATGTCATGACAGTGTATTAGTTTCAGATGGCTGCTATAACAAAGTACCACAGACGGAGTGGCTTAACCAACAGAAGCTCATTTTCTCAGCTCTGGAGGCTAGAAGTTCAAGGTGTCAGTAGGGTTGGTTCCTTAAGACAGCTGAGAGAAGGCTCTGTCTCAGTTCCCTCTCCCTGGCTTGTGGATGGCCATCTTCTCTTTGTGTCTTCACGTAGTCTCCCCTCTCTACGTGTCTGTGTTGTCCAAATGTCCTCCTCATGTAAGGATACTGGTCATTTTGGGTTAGAGCCCACTCTAATGACCTCATTTTAATTTAATTACTTCTTTAAAAAATCCCTATCTTGGTTACATTCTGAGGGTACTGGGGGTTAGCACTTCAACACATGAATATTTTTTGGGGGTGGACACAATTCAGCTCATAACAGATAGTGAGTATCATATGCGACTGATTATCAACACAGGAGGTCAATTTACTTAAATGATAGCATCAGAGAAATTCCAGCTATAGATGGGAAAGTATTCGTACTTTCTCCATGACTTTTAATGTCTTCAGGATATTACTTAAAGTTATGCATGACAAAAATTCCATGTCACCCACTGGCTGCCTGCTAACAACGGCTTGAGTCATCACAAATGCAGCGGCCTCCAGGTTGACCACACTGACAGCCTCTTGCCCGTTTGTTGCATGTGGGTAGGAATGGAGACACTGGCCAGTGGGTTTTCTTCTTGGAACAGTTGATAATGGAAACACTAGTCAACTTTCTTTTTACTTTACATTATTCTAGAAGAAATGGATTGGGGTATTTTGATCATAAAGAAATTACAAGTGGGAAAGAAGATGGACGCAAGGCCTTCACCTTGTCGCTCAGTCTCCCTTCACTTCCGTGTTCAGAATGAATGTGGAGTTAATACACCGATACAAACGTACTGGGCAGCAGTTAAAATGAACAGATAAAAATGGCTAAGTGCTTTCTAAACGTGAGTTTTATATAAATTTAAACTACTTGCAACCTTTGCTTGTTTTCCACCCGGTTGGCCGCTCAGCAAACAGGAGCGGCATGATTAATTAGCCCACAGTTTATTTTGTGACCCCATTAGGATTACACGTTCCTTCTCCCTGGTATGACAACCCCACCTGCTGTTTGTACAATTCAGGCCAAACACCTGGCTGAAAGTGAGGGTACTTACGCATTAAAGCGTGCCCGGACCACCACCCGGCAGAAGTTTCTGAACCTGTGCTCCCGTCCCACTATGAACAGTGGCTTATCGAAGTACGGGTGGTTCTCTCGCAGCTCCTCTTCTTGCACTTTCCTTGAAGGGGACATTTATGGGAGAGTAAGGTTAAGGGAACGTTTGCTGTTCCACAGTGAGAGCCAAGAAACAGTGTAGCACCCTGTACCTTTTCATTTCTGCTTGCTCCTTTTTCTCTTGGATCATCTTTATTTCACTGTCTTCTCTTTGTGCATTTCTGTATCTCACTGTATTGGAATGCTAGAAATAAATGAAAATGGGGCATATCAAAATGGATGATATTTTTGAACAACCACCCCAAAATGATCATTTTATACATATCTTTATTTTATATATACTTTAATGGTCATGTCATCTTAGCAAGGGTGTTTTTTACTCCAAATGATTTTTTAAAATATATGTTTTATTGATTTTTTACAGAGAGAAAGGGAGAGGGATAGAGTTAGAAACATCGATGAGAGAGAAACATTAATCAGCTGCCTCCCGCACCCCCCCGACTGGGGATGTGCCCGCAACCAAGGTACATGCCCCTGACCGGAATCAAATCTGGGACCACTCAGTCCGCAGGTCGTTGCTCCAAACTGGTTAGGGCCAAATGATTTTTTTTTCAATAAAAACTTTTATTGAGAACCAATTATGTGCCAGGTACTGTTCCAGTGCTGGGAATATGGCAAAATGGCAAAAACAAACAAACAAACAAAATCTAAATATGACAAATCAAACCCTAGTCTTGTGGGGCTAATGTTCTAATAATCAGGGAGACAAACCAAAATTAGATCAAAACAAGTAAGAATGTTAGAAAAGATTTAGCATTTTGGGAAAAAACAAAGGGGAATAAAGCATGCTAGAAGCCTACAAGTTTAAATAAACAGGTCAGAGCAGGCCTCAATAAGAAGTTGTTATTTGAGCAAAGACTAGAAGGATACAGGCCACTGGATGTTTGCAGAAATTAGTTTTTCCTGGGGAGTGAGTGGGTTTGCATACGGAAAAGCCAGGATGCCAGTGTGGGTGGAAAGCAAGCAACAGAGTTGGAGATGAGGCCAGAGGGGTGTGTGTGTGGGGAGCAGATCATGAAGCACATTGACTCTGATTTTCACTCTGTGGGAGATGTAGAGCCATTGCTCAAATAACTTGATAACATTTTATAGATCGTAGCGCCTACATTGAATTGTTTTTCTCTTCTATTATTATAACAAGTGAAAAAGATGAAACTCTCTATTTAAATTGCTTCTATTGTAGAGGAAAGATTTCTTATAATAAGCAGAATTCCCAGGATCTTTTGCTATGGAGAAGACAGGGGGTGGGTTTTTGTTTTTTCTATCTATGTAGAAAATATAACAAAGCATCTTTGAAGAAGAAATGAACTTCTGCAATTGAGATCATTCAAAGAGAGCCTTTTGTTGTATATTTTAAACATGTATTTTCAAAGCCATGTCCTAATTTGGTTTTGGAGTTTACTGTGCATTTCTATTGAAATCCATGAAAGGAAAGTCTTCGGAACTAGTGTTGCTTCTCTGAATTTTTACCTAGAAATTTTCTCCATGCACTATGGTAGATCATAAATTTCAGTATACAGGTCTTGTGTTGGATCCAATCAGACTTCCATGTTAACAATACACTGGATCATATCAGACAACATTCTGGCTTAAAAAATCATGGCAGTAACAGATGTTTGTGCTAATCTAATCAGAACCATGTACCTTGGTAATGGCTATATCAGGTGTCTCATCTGGGGCTCTGGGCTCATGTGGAGGAGTGTACACTGACTATCCTCTAACATTACCTGCCCCCAAATCTCATTCCTTCACACTATTTTATTTTTCTTTATGCAAAGTCAATCTGTCACAGTAATAAAAAAAGGAATAACAATTACCCAGGAATTATTATATATTTGTTTACTTGCTTATCATTCTTTCACTAGACCAGCCGTGGGCAAACTACGGCCCGCGGGTCGGATCCGGCCTGTTTGAAATGAATAAAACTAAAAAAAAAAAGGACTGTACCCTTTTATGTAATGATGTTTACTTTGAATTTATATTAGTTCACACAAACACTCCATCCATGCTTTTGTTCTGGCCCTCCGGTCCAGTTTAAGAACCCATTGTGGCCCTCGAGTCAAAAAGTTTGCCTACTCCTGCACTAGACTATAAGTGCCTGCAAGGCAGAGATGATGTCTTGCTTCCCATCTAGTCCTCATCACTGAGAACAGAATCTGCATTCATATAATGAACACTTGGTATATAATTGGGTCAGTGAATAAATAAATGAATGGCCTAGGCCCTAGGGTCTAAAAGCAAATAAATTATTGGGAAATGTTATGCAATCTTTGACATAAAATTCTTTTAGAAATCAAATTTTATTTCCCAGTATGTAAAGCTCTGAAATGGTGGGCTTGGGATCTAGAGTCTAGGGATTTGGAATTTAGTAAATACTCAAAGTTAGTAATGTGAATCATTCCCATAATGTGCTTTGAATGTCTTTAATTTCAGTGAAATGTAACTGGTATGCCATTTTTTGTGTTGCTGTCTTAACAATGGCATATAGTTTGTCGGATGCCTGGAATTTTCTATGGTTAATCATCTCTTTTCTGTCCCTGGCCATTTAATTTGTTTCCTGAGTCTCCTGATTTTCTCTGGTAGAAAATCTTATGGAGATGTGACAATGTGACAGAAAGACCCAGGCACTGGGATCTTCTGAGCAGTCATTTAAATACATCTTAATAATCATGTTTCAAAATACAAAGCTTTGCTTAGAACTTACATCTTGAGTCAGAGTTTCAAGAGATTTCCCCCTGCTGATCCTCTGGCTGTTTGATCCGTGTCTTAGTGATCTAAAACAACCACAACCAACTGGTCAACATATCTCAAGACCAACTTTGGACTTAAGCAATGATCATTATTTAAAAAATAAAGAAATAAAACAACTTTACTTAAATAAAACAAGTCTATTTCTTTTTATAGCAAAAGCTTTTGTCTATCCAACTGTCTTTGATAACATCTAACTGAAATTCAGAATTTTCCTTTGGACATCACCAAGGTAAAGATTTTTTGAAAGAACTTTTGAATCTTTGGATCTGATCGTGAATATTTCGTTATTGTTACCATCAAGGAGTAGAATCCATGCTATCTGTTAACCAGGGCTGTGTGCAGCAAACACTTCCTGTAACACTCCTTTCCTTGGTTTCTCTGCAGCCTCGTCTCCTGCTGTATTTACCTGCGCTCCTGGCGGATGTGATGCTGCACACTGAGAATTGACCTTTCCTTTGCTGGCTGCCCCTCAAATGAGCCACTCAGCATGCGCTGTCGAGTGCAGGCTCTAGGAAAAAAAAAAAGGAGCCCATGATAAATGTGTGATCTGTACACTTGGAATGAATAATACATAACTGCTCATTACTCATTATTTTTTAAGGAAACACCAATGATAAGGCAAAATACAGCAAATGACACACAATCATAAAGGAAAAGGAGCTTTAGGCTTCCTGACAAGAATACTTTACAAAACAGAACTGTCTTGGCTGTGAAGAGGGGCTGGAAAATAAACAGAAAGCTCTCTCTACCCCGCCACCCCCAACATGTTTTCCCTCCCCATCACCCAAATAGGAGAGCTTCTATTGGGATTCTGTGAGTAGTAAGGCCAGCCTGACCACAGTTAATCATGATGTTGGTTTTGAATTTAGAGGTTTCCAAAGCCCTTAGGGAAGGGTTTGTCCACCCTTCCCTGGGATGACAGAATATACATTTCAAGATTTTGTAGAACTCTAAGAAAATTGGAAAGCATAAAGTTAGATAGGGGCACACATTAGTACGAAAGAGACGTAATTAAAGCTGGAATTAATACTGAGAGAAACCTCAGTCTGAAGCTGTGACTTATAGGTAGTCAGTCAGTCACCACTTTCTTCGCAACCACAAAACTCCAAAGATTTTTTAAAATATGCTATCTTTTTCACAATTGGGTGACTCAACACCTGTAGTGTGAATGATTTGGAGAGAGAACAAATTTCTTCTCCAGAAAGCTCTCTCCAACGGAAATGATAGAAATTCCCTTGATGTAGTCGTCAAGTGGAGAGAAATGCAGGGCTTAAGAGAGCTGTATGCCAGAGGCGACACTGTCATGAGTTTGCTGAGTGGCCCTTCAGCTCAGTTCCCTAATGGGGAACATGAGGAGAAGGCCTTGATCTCAAAGAAAACTCACAGGCTTACAATACGATGATGTTATGATACGAACATCTCATGACACTGTATTTGTTCAACACCTGAACACGTCTACTACTGTCATTGCTTTACATAAACACTTTCATACTTATGTTTCCTAACATGTTACCTAGACTAGCTTTGATTTACATTACTGTCTGTCTCAGAATTATGATCTTTGAGAAAAGATCTGTGTCTGCTTGTGCAGTGCCAGCACGGCCAAGGGTGAACCTGAGGAGGGGAGGTGAAGGATTGAAGAAAAGACAGACAAGAGAATACAGCTGGGGCTCGGTGGATCTCCCATGCCTGGATGAGGACACAAAAGACCCAGCCTGCAAGCCGATGCTTTATTTTATAGTCTGATTAAAACAAGATTAACATGTATACAAATGTTCTTGTTTTGGCAACCTTTGCTACACCTCCCACAGCCCATTAGCTACTTAGGAAGGAATCTGGGAGGGCTACAAGGTCAGGAAAAGGAGCTTTAGGCTTCCTGTCAAGAATACTTTTACAAAATAGAACTGCTAGGAGAGCTCTGCCCTCCAGGCTGGGACTTGTTTGTGGCTCTGCCACAGGTCAGCCCCAGGTTTGACCCTAGAGCTGCTCCCTACATCTGCTTAGTATACTTAAAACAGCAGTTTTTATGATATCATGTGTATATTTAAGTACTTAAAAATGCCTTTGATACCAATGAAAATAATTATGGAGAAAACCTATGAAAAATCATACAAACTCAATGAATGCAAATGCATTACAGAAAATAAAACTCAAATAATCACTTTTCTTAGTTTAATAAGCAGCAGGAAACATTAAAATCCAAATAAAATTTTATTAAACAACAAGGATTTATGAGGATGATATACAGAGACAGTGTTTATTTCCAAGACTACAATGATGTTGCATAGGAAGATGCATTTGTAAGTTAGGTTGAGTTGACAAAGATGTAGCACGATCTTAGGTACACTATGGATTATTTGTCCAACAAAGAACTGAAAATTATGAAGCCATCCTGAGAAAATCTATTTGGACAATGGTGTTGTTCTGATATATATACAGATCCCTGCCATTAGTGTAAACTGTCAAGACTTAACTACAGCCACTGTCTTAGTAACTTTTATATTTTGTTACAAGGCTCTCCCCTAAAGTAGTTGAGACCTATAGGACTTACATACAAAATACATACAACTGTGTTATAACATACACATTTGAGTTGGTTGTCCTGCTAAGTTTGAAGTAGAAGAATGTAACTGGCTTTAAGCTGCCTGCTGGAGGGGTCTGTGTGCCTGTGCACGTCAAAGCCTAACACCATGCAAACAGGAATTTGCAGCACAAAAAGTGAGGGTTTTAGGAAGTGGCCCAAGCCTAGAGGCATAGGTGAGCTCAAAACCTGGATCCCTGATTGGTTCCAAGGAATGGGTTTTATAGGGGGGAAATCATCAATTATGGTGACTACGAAAGATAGGTTCATGGTCAGGGTTGTGGTCTCTACTGATTGGTCGGTGCTAGGGTCTGGTCCTGATGTATCACTTTGTCTGGTTTTGCTGCTTTTGAGGTCCTGGAGCTGAAACACAAGTGAGGCCTAGAGGCCATCTCTGCTTTGACCAGAACTCTGTCTCTGTGGTCAACAGGCCCAAGGCGTTGTTTCTAGGATTATTCGTTGCTCATCAGAACCTCATTGTCCTGAGGGCTTAATGCTTAAGGGAGTGAACATGCAAGGGAGAAGGAAGCAGGTGAGTCAGGGTGCTGGATAAGGCCAATTTGCTCAAAAAGAAAGAAAGGAGAAAAGGACATACTAAAGAAATCACATTTCTGCACGGTTACAGTTTTTGCCCAATAGTCAGTCTAAGGCTGTCTGGGCATTCGTATTGAGGAAGAGTTAGCACTGCATCTACTGACTCCAGGGCCTGAAGGATGTTCCGACACCTGGGGCAGCATAACACACCCACACCTGCTGGGTGGCAGCCTCTGTGGATCCTGGGGTCAGATCCTCTTCCGCTGACCCCAAACAAGCAGGTCGCAGTGGAGACCCTTGGCTATGGGAAGACTCTCCTGCCCCACCCCCCACCTGTGATATCTCTTCTTCCAACGGCGTCCGTGAAATGGTGGTGAGAAAGCAAGTTCCTTTTCCTCTTTGGCTCAAGATCACTCTACTCTTTCCCACTGGGTCTGGAGAATTCAGAAAATAGTACTAAAACGGGTTGGAGTTTCAGCCATATAGTATGTGAGTTGTTGTTCTCTGTATGATTCAGTCATGGGGGAGGAGGATACTTTTTAGCTCTACCCTGCAAATCAGAAAACCTGTGCTTAATCAGGTTGAGATGGCCACCTAAATGAGCGTAATATGTAAAACCATTTGCTTTAATTTCCTTTTCCTATCACTTTCTTCTACGTTTATGTTTGCTAGTAAAATTTTAACCTAGATAAATGATGAAAAAAAAAGTGCCCAGTAATTCTGGGTCCATTAAACCATGTAACAGGTGACTTCAGAGTTCTATTGGAGCCAAGCATAAACTTGGTGGTTTCCTTTGCTCACTGAGAGGGCCCTGCCAGGGTCTTCCTGTTCTCTGAACAGAGGCTGTATATGCACCTCCTCATTTCCTGGGCTCCAAAAGTACCCATGTAATCTGAGCAAAGTGAAGACAGGCAGATAGGGCTAAATTGGCTTGGTGTTAAGAGGTCATCTTTGGTGCTTAAGGCTCAACATGGTTCCCTGTGCCAGCCTCACACATCCCAGCACTCCACCTCCGAGTCTGGTGCCAAAGCAAAGGTAAACAGTCTCCATCTCCATTCAGTGGTGCTCTTGTTCAGTCTCTTCCTGGATCAAGTGCTCCCATGTCTCCCCCTTTCCTTTGAGTATCTTCAATGGCTTTCGAACGAGAAAACTCAGTAGGTGCTCAATACATATTTGTTAAATGAATGAACTTTGAAATTCTGTGAAGATCAAATATTTTAATTTCTTTTTTGATCACTTCATCCTTATCAAGCATGAAAACAATCACAAACAAAACAGCATGTGTTTGAAATATACTTTTTAAAGGGCATGCTAAATCATCTTAATTTTATCTCAAGTTGGAATACTATGCCATCAAAAAATGAGCTGCACACCTATGATAGATGAGACCCTTAGACAGGAATCAAAGAAAATCAGACATTGCTTCCTGCAAGTAGGAAATTTATAAACCTTTATCTACATTCTAGGTGAGAGCTATTAAGGGAAACCCTGTAAGCTGAAATGAGGCTGAGCTGCACTCATTTCAATATCATAAAAGGGAGATCTGACCTGTCACTGGGAACATGGTCTCCATATATCTTGTCTTATAGCAATCTACCACCACGCCAAAGTACCAAATAGCAAAGGAATTTGAGATTTTTAATATTTTACCAATAAGGAATTTGAGGCTCTTAATATGTTACCGATATTTTAGTAAAAGACCTACTCAGAAGAAGTACTGTAAAATTAAATTAAGTTACATTTTGCCACTTAAAATTTTTCATTTAAATTTAGATGCCTTTTGATCTCACATAAGAATTTAAAAAAATATGTTTTCAGGAAGGAAGTGTTCATTTGTTTGCTGCCTAGAGAAAAAGCAAAGATAATGGTACAGGAAAGAACACACTGATCTTCAGGGAAGCTCTCACAACTTAGGGGAAAGATCGATATCGTCTTGGAATTAAGGTCTTCAACATCTTCTCTCTGTCTCTTCATCATGGCAAGGACTAGAAGGGCCAGTTCCTAGAAACTCCATCTAGTGGCTTCATATTAAAAAAAAAAAAAAAAGTCTGCCTGCTTGGCTTCTGGAGCTGGGAGGCACAAGGCTTCAAGTGTCTGGTGAAAAATAATGAAGTCTTTTGTCTTGTCTGAGTGAGGAAATTCTCCATTATGCAGGCATATGTAATCCCTTTATCCCTGCTCCCTGGAGGAGAATTACAGTGAGGCATTTTCCTTTTCCCAGTTGGGGTTAATGTTATGCCCTCTCTACCTTTGAAAGTAAAACAAGACTAGGACCCCTGATGATGATTCAAATGTGGGAATATTCTTCAGCAAACACACATTCCCAGTTGCAAAAATATTACCCCTGGTTTCTTGCCAAGCCTTTGAAAAAAACATATGAAAGATTGATTCTT